TAAATTTTAGAGTTGAGTGTTAACTTTAAATTAAAAGATTAGAATTTGGAGAATGAGATAAAATAAATGAGGCGCCTACTTGACTAAATTAAGCTAGTAGGTGACAAGTAGGTGCATCACCTACTTAGACTTTTTGACCAACTTAATAAGAGTAAGTAGTTGCATCACCTGCCATAGCTATAGATTTAATAAGAAGAAGTAGTTGTATCACCTAGTTTGACATTTGAGCAGCTTAAAAATGGCCAAGTAGGCATATCACCTACTTGGCAATTTGTGGACAAAAATGAAGAAAATACAGGCGGTGGAGTGCCAGCAATTATAGGGTCATATTTGGCTCATTTATATCTTAATTCTTGCATAGGAAAATAGGAATTTATCTCCAGCACTCTCTCTTTCCCTCAATGATTATCACAGCTACCTCAAAAATATTCCATGGTTTCTTGAAGAAACCCTCCTAATTTCTAGCTAAGGTAAGTAGAAACCTTATGGTTTAGCTTGATTGTCCCATGAGATTTCATGTTTTTCATGTTTAAATATGGTGCAGACCTTTCCCTAAGTTGTCTGCTCATGTTTTCTTTGTTATTAAGAGAGTTTCTCTTCTTATTCTGTTTAAGTGTGAAGGGTTAAAACTATTGAAGGAGTACAAGTTAAGAGAACAATTTTCCATAATTTAAGGTAAGACTGCCCCATTTTGTCTCACTATAGATATCAGATTAGGTGAGATTTCTCTAAGTGTTTTACTACAAATTCATGAAAAAATGATCGGAAGCAGTGAGTCAAAGTTTTATTGATTATTTTAGAAAGGTTTGGGGATGTCTATACGTGGTGAAGTTTGGAGAAGTACTGGGTGGATTGGTTCGGTTTATTAGTGGTAAAAGGCATGGTTTTATCCTATATATGGTAGTGAGAGTGTTGTTTGTAAGTATGAGGTCGTTGGGTGTTGAAACACCATTTATGAATTGTAGAGCTTTATGCCCGCTAACTGTTCGACATAATGTCGTAGTGATCCATTACTCCAGCTCAGGATGATTTAGGAGTAGTTCCAGCTATGGTTGTGAAGCTTGTGGATTGATCTTTCCAACGCCGCCGAGTTTGATCAATTCCGAGTTCGTATGAGTGAGTTATAGCCCTTTGAAAGTTGGGCAGTTGACAAGAAATTCGTCCGGGAATCATTAAGGGCATTTTAGTCTTTTCCCTAGCCAATTCTTTTGGGATTATATTGTTGTATAGGGCTGATCTTTGGATCATTTTGTTCCATTTTTAAGAGAGTGAAGGCTAGGGCTTGAGAGTGAAGAAGAGAAGAAAAAGAGAAGAAGAGGAGAAGAAGAAGAGGAAATCGAGGAGATCAACAAGTTCCGTCAAGATCATCGTGGATTTTTCGTCGGGGGTGATCCCTACCAATGTATGTGAGCTTTTAGTGTTGGGTGATCTTTTCCCCCACACACCTAGCCCCTTTTATTCATTAAGAAAGGATTGGCTTTGTTGATAAAGTTGTTAGTTGTTGTGGTTGAAGTTGTTGGAGTTGTTAAAGTTGTTAGTTGTTGTTGTTGGCATTATTGTTGGTTGTGGGACATGATTGGGTTGTGTTTTTTAGTTGTATTCTATTGAATGTTGAGGAATTATATGTTCTAAGTGATTGGGGGCTGAAACCCTTGAAGTTAGAGAGTTTAGAGTTGGTAACGTGAAGGAGGAAGTCGGGCAGCTTGCGAGGAGCACGTCTGCGTCGCGGACTTGTTCCCTCTGTGAACAAAATCTGCTCCGCGTCGCGGACAGGATGCGGACTCCACTGTTTTCAAAATTTATTTTCGAAAACTTTCTTAAGCTTGGCTGTCCCAAATCATTCCTAAACATCATGAGGTCCTTCCAAACACCAATCAAGTCCTTGAATCCATAATTCAATTCAAGAAAATTAGATTCCAAGTCAAGAGAAGTTAGTGCCAAGCTTAGAAGTTAAGCAAGTCAAGGCAAGTCTTTAAAGCGTTTCAAAAGTCGTTATTGAACGTCTTAACGTCGTTTCAAGTCTCAAGTTGAGTTAAGAGTTTCAAGTAAAGTAAGGAGTAGAGAGTCGAGTCCATTTCTCCAAAGTTGTTAGGGAACTATGTACTTCCCAAAGAAGTTTCTAAATGTTTTTTTTACATTTAAGTAAGAAAGGAACCATGTTTTCCAAAAGAGCCTTTGGGCTAAACTTTGAGTAATTATCTCAAACTAAAGAAAGAAGTTATTTTAAAAGCATGAGACAAAGTACTTTTGAGAGTAGTATTGAGCACCAAATTGGGGACACGAGTTCATATTAACTCCCCTCTCCATAAGAACCATGCGCCAACATGGGACTTGACGTATCATTCTTTTTAGATGATCACGTAAGATTAGGCTAGTGGATCCACTAAGCAAAAGTAAGGTCCTATATCGATGGCAAGGTATAGGATGGTCCTTTGGCAATGTAAGGTAAAACGTTGTATCATCACTAAGGATCGTAGTGGTGGTTGTCGGTTAAAGAACCTCCCACAAAAGCTATATTTCTTCCATATAAGTAAAGTTGAGTTTGTTGTCGTTTTATCCTTCACAAACTAAGTTGTTTACATTGTTTACAAGCTTTATATGTATTGCATGTGTCTTATTGCTTTACATTGAGTTCGGTTATTCATGAGTCGTTCAAAGTCAAGGTAAGTGTTCTCTTGTGCTCCCTTAAATCTTAAGTTGTGGTTTAGTATTTCCAGCTCGCATACTCGTACATTCCATGTACTGATGCCAGTTGGCCTGCATCGTTTTATGATACAGATACAGGTACCCAGGATCAGCATACAGCACGCCGTGGTGAAGTTTGGAGAAGTACTGGGTGGATAGTTTTGTTTATTAGTGTCAAAGGGCATGGTTTTATTCCTATATATGGTAGTGAGAGTGTTGTTTGTAAGTATGAGGCTGTTGGGTGTTGAAACACCATTTATGAATTGTAGAGCTTTATGCCCGCTAGGTGTTCGACATAATGTCGTAGTGGTCCATTACTTGACCTATTGACCCGATTGTGATGTAATCAATATATTTTGTAGATTATCATTTGTAATATTGGCTAGCCTTAAGAGAAAGTCATGTGAAATGTTTTAGGGAAGAAATGAAGATACACCATTTGAATTGTGGGTTGTGTGGGCGTGCTGCCTCTTAGGTGTGTATTTACTGTTCTGGATGTTGTAAATTTCAGGTAGTGTCGAATGACCTCATGGGAAGGTCATAAATGGTGTAAACATGGTGATAAAGGAATTAGTAAAAAAGAAAACACCCATTAGTAGAGGGGTTTTGAGCTTGCTGCCCGACTACAGTTTTGGTAAGTCGAAGTGATCCAACCTTGTTTATTAGCTGTTAATATTAGCTCTATTACTTGCCATTAATGCAGAGTAACGCCTCAAAGGAAAGGCTGATTCATGGTACCACATAGTATTACT